AGTGAGTGGTGGTGGTGGTGGTGTGGTGGTGGTGGTGGTTGGTAATGGTGGTGGTGGTGGTGGTGGTGGTGGTAGTGGTGTGAGTGTGGTGGTGGTGGTGGTGGTGTGGTGGTGGTGGTGGTGGTGTGGTGGTGGTGGTGGTGGTAGTGGTAGTGTGGTGGTGGTGGTGTTGGTGGTGTGGTGGTGGTGGTGGTGGTGGTGGTGGTGGTGGTGTTGGTGGTGGTGGTGGTGAGAGGTGGTGGTGGGTGGTGGTAGGTGGTGGTGTTGAGGTGGTGGTGGTGGTGTGGTTGGTGGTGCGTATGGTTGGTGGTGGTGTTGGTGGTGGTAGTGGTGGTGGTGGTGGTGGTGGTGGTGGTGGTGGTGTGGTGGTGGTGGTGGTGTGGTGGTGGTGTTGGTGGTGGTGGTGGTGGTGTGGTGTGTGGTGGTGGTGGTGGGTGGTGGTGGTGGTGGTGGTGGTGGTGGTGTTGGTAGGGTGGTGGTGGTGGTGGTGGTGTGAGGTGGTGGTGTGGTGGTGGTGGGTGGGTGGTGGGTGGTGGTGTGGTGGTGGGTGTTGGTGGTGGTGGTGGTGGTGGTGGTGTGGTGGTGGTGGCGGTGGTGGTGGTGGTGGTGGTGGTGTGGTGGTGGTGTTGTGGTGGTGTTGGTGGTTGGTGGTGGTGTGGTAGTGTTGGTGGTGGTGGTGGTGGTGGTAGGTGGTGGTGGTGGTGGTGGTGGTGTGTGGTGTGGTGGTGGTGGTAGTGGTGGTGGTGGTGGTGGTGGTGGTGGTGGTGGTGGTGGTGGTGGTGGTGGTGGTGGTGGTGGTGGTGGTGGTGGTAGTGGTGGTGGCAGTAGTGGCAGGCAGCAGTGCAGGTGGTGGTGGTGGTGGTGCGGTGGTGGTGGTGGTGGTGGTGGTATGGCGGTGAAAGTGAGTGGTGGTGGTGGTGGTTGGTGGTGGCAGGTGGTGGTGGTGGTATGGTGGTGGTAGTATATGGTGGTGGTGTGGTGGTGGCAGTAGTGGTGTTGGTGGTGCTGGTGTTGCGTTGGTGGTGGTATGGTGGTGGCAGGTTGGCAGAAAGTGGTGGTGGTGGCGTGTGGTGGTGGTGGTGGTGGTGGTGGTGGTGGTGGTGGTGGTGGTGTGGTGGTAGTGGTGGTAGTGGTGGTGGTGGTAGTGGTGGTGTTGGTGGTGGTGGTGGTGGTGGGTGGTGGTGGTGTTGGTGGTGGTAGTGGTGGTGTTGAGTGGTGGTGGTGGTGGTGGTGTGGTGGTGGTGGTGGTGGTGTGTGTGGTTTTGGGTGGGTGGTTGGGGGTGTTTTATGGATTTTGTTTACGGAACGGTATAGGGGTCATCGACCACGACGGGGCCTGGGGAGGCGGAAAATAAGAATAGGAAAGAAATAAATAGAAAAGGAAAGGGTTATATTTGTATTAATCTTCACCGCGAATATAAACCATGCTTTAAGTGAGAGAGGTTAGGTTGTATAAGTGGAAACACAGAAGAAGGTAGAGCATTCCTACAGTTTGGCTGTGGTGGAGAAGAAGGAGGTATTTATAACGGGGTTATTCTAGTGGTTGGGTGGGTGGGTGGGGGGTGTGTTATGAGCCCACGATTTGGTGACATCAGGATGCCAGATCCACGGAATATTGGTCCATAAAGTACCCAGTAAGGAGAGAGAGAGTGAAGCAACATTGCGGCGAAGAGAAAGGAAGAGAGATTGCAACAAAGGAGGAGAGTTAATAAGACGAAATTCCTTTGATTCACCCTTGATCTAACAGTTGGATGTAGTTAGAGCCACCTGAGATATAGAAGGTACTCATGCAGGAAGAATGAATCCTCATATACTGGAAGCAAATGCTCAGAGTGAAGTAGTTGCGGTATCTGCAGCAATATTACCAGCTTTTGGGAGGAAGCTTTGCAAGGAGGGATGTGGCTCTATGACATATTAGTGAAATGGTGAGGCCTAGCATATCTATTTTGAGAATTTGACAGAAATTGCATCCAAATGTGATTGTTGAAGATTATCTAATTTGGAGTGTAATTGGTAATACAGAGTTTTATTATTGAATTTGACTAGGATGTAATAGTCCTAGCAGAAGTGGTATATTATGTAAGCGACCATTTGACGTGTTATACTTATCACCCCTGTAATCTTTCCACCAGCTATGAGGCTGCATGGTAGAGAGCACGTGGTAAGGTGAACACGGGAAGTATGTCACTTAGTGCTGAGTTAGCATTGGCGTGTCGGCTCTTCGGCCACCTAGTGCGAGGTAGTTTGACAACCTTGCTAGAGGAAGACGTTGTTGGGAGCCATCGTGGATGTCGGATATATTAATGTTCTCGACGGGTATTATAGCTACCTTACCTGTGATATAAGTTACGGTTATATATACTGGAACTGTATATAATATAATTCTAATAAATACACAAAAGACAGTGGTTTGGCGACTAAAAACCTATTTACTTATTCTGCAGCCTCTATTAACTCATCAAGAATCAACGGTTAAAGGGCCACAGATCTGTAGATGTAATGATGGAGTTCTAGAAACAGATTCAGTTTGAGAGTTAGAGAAGGGAAATGTGGAAGAGAGTGTGGTGGTGGTGGTAGTGGTAGTGGTATTGTGGTGGTGGTAGAGTGTATTGTGGTAGGTAGTGGTGAACTGATACCGGAACCAGACTTCATTAATTATTCAAAGATTTAACTGGACTTATCGACGATGCTCCACCCACTTCTGGCGTCCTTAGCAACCGTTTTTATTTCGCGGAATGGTGATTGGTCGTTGGTTGCTATGAATTGTGCCTTCTCATTGGCCTGAATTTCAACCATTTATTTTGCCTCAAATTATTATGATTCCTGTAGTGTTTACTCTTCATCTGCTACAAGGAGGATGGAAACAAAAAAAAAACCAAGAGAGAGGGGAAGGAGAAGGAAAGAGAGGAGGGGAGAAGGAGAGAGAGAGAGAGGAGAGAGAGGAGAAGGAGAGAGAGGATAGTGGAGTAGATTGAACAACAACTCACATCTCCTTCACTTCTCTTGTCTTATCTGTCTCCTCCTTTCATTCCTCCTTCACTTTTATATCAGCATGTATCCCCATCTCCCTATCTCCTGTCTCTCTCCTGTCTCTCTTAATCCGTTATCACATATTATTCTCACATAATCTCTCAATATCTCTCTCCACCATCAATCTCAATATCTCTCTCCACCCATTATCTCTCAATATCTCTTCTCTCCACCCATTACCTCAACATTCTCTACCATCAATTCTCAATATCTCTTCACCATCATAATCTTCAACATCTCTCCTACTTACCGTCAATTCTCAATATCTCTTCACCATCAATCTCTCAATATCTCTTCTCCACCCAATATCTCCACCATTATCTCAATATCTCCACCATCAATCTCAATATCTCACCATCAATCTCAATATCTTCCACCTCAATCTCTTGTTCCAACACCTCAATATCTCCACCATCAATCTCAATATCTTCACCATCAATCTCTCAATATCTCTACCATCACCCTAATATCTCTACCATATCTGGTCTCTTCACCATCAATTCTCAAAATCTTTCCACCATCAATCTCTCAACATCTCTCTCACCACCATCTCAATATCTCTCACCCAATATCTCTCCACCCATTATCTCTAATATTCTCCACCATCAATCTCTCAACATCTCTCTCCACCCATTATCTCAATATCTCTCACCCATCATCTCTCAATATCTTCCACCATCAATCTCTCAATATCTTCCACCATCAATCAATATCTCTCTCCACCATCAATTTCTCAATATCTCTCTCCACCCATTATCTTCAACATTCTTTCCACCCATTATCTCTCAGTATCTCCCAGACGCAACAGGGAACAAATTCTCAACACTAATTAGAGACCTTTTTGATGTAGGTAACTTCTTTTAATTACTGTAATTAGACAGTGTAGTTGATCCTTGAGCCCGCTGTTAACAACTGATGCTTCTGTTGTAAAGACGCCGTGTGGTTGGGTTTCTTCGGTTACAAAGTTAGCTAGGTTGGGTTAGGTTAGGTTAGGTTATATTTGGTTACTTTAATTGGGTTAGTTAGGTTAGGGTTACAACTGATATCTATTACAACTATGTTAACTCAGCTGTCTAAGGGTGGCAGGTAAACACACACACACACACACACACACACACACACACACACACACACACACACACTACACTACAACATAAAATCACCGTCAAAAACCACCAATAAACCACCCAATAACCAACAATCTAAAAACCACAAATAAACCCTAACTATATAATCACATCATTACTGGTATACACATACTAATTGCCGGTTGCTTCCATTAACAGTCAAACCATGCGTTCCGGGTCAGGTAATGGTGACCAAACAAAAGCACTAATTTTCTGAAGCGATGATCGGAAATACTAGGAGAGAGAGAGAGAGAGAGAGAGGAGAGAGAGAGAGAGAGAGAGGAGGGGAGAGAGAGAGAGAGGAGAGGAGAGAGAGAGAGAGAGAGAGAGAGAGTTTTTACTTGCTCGGGAAAAAAATATGAAGAAGCAAAAAATTATAATAATAATAAGAAAGAAAGAAAGAAAGAAAGAAAGAAAGAAAAAGAAAGAAAGAAGACGTACACCACTAAATATTATTGTATCACCTTGCGGGATACAATATACACGGTGCCGAGTAATATTTTTACTGGGTGTACAATCGTTTTTTGATCACTAGGAGGGTAAACTTTGTCATGTCAACACATCGTCTAATTCAGTAAGTATCTGTCCCATTCACCGCCACTTAAAGAATTGGTCCTAAATATTAGTTTACCTAAATAAGCTTAGATACTATGTCCTAAAATTCGAAAAAATTACCAAAATAAGCTTAAAACACAAAGTTATGCAAAGTCTATGTCCTAAAATACGCTATAAAACAAAAATTAGCTTTAACCATACAATTTGTAAGATTCGTCCCTTAAAATAAGCTGAGAGAGAGAAAATAAGCTAAAATGGGTAAAATAAGGTAAAATATGTCAGACTCACCTCAAAGACGCCTGTGTGGGGGTTCATGTCCAGGAGGGGTAGTCAGCCTTCCTGTCCGCTGGCGTCGATGGAGATGTTGCCAGTGAACCACGGCGGTACTACGTTGTTGTCGGGGAAGTAGGGGAAGACTTAGGTTAGTAGTAGTAGTAGTAGTAGTAGTAGTAGTAGTAGTAGTAGTAGTAGTAGTAGTAGTAGTAGTAGTAGTAGTAGTAGTAGTAGTAGTATGTAGTAGTAGTAGTAGTAGTAGTAGTAGTAGTAGTAGTAGCAGTAGTAGTAGTAGTAATAGTATGTTCAATAAACACATATCATTACATAAGAATCAATCATCGCATAATCATACCTTCATTCCTGTGGATTCTAGCCTCACTTTGATATGCGAAATCCCACATTCCCAACACCCGACTCCTGCCACCACCTATCAACAGCACACCCATACGTCTCCTCTAGCGTGATCTGGAGTTAATGAGGTGAGCTGGTACACAACCCGAGAATACCCACGGAGACATGGATTATTCTCTCAAATACCTGTCCCCCCCACCACCTCTTCCCTCCTACACCACCTCCGTTTTGATAGATTTCTTTGTTCTCTTCCTATCCCACTACCTCTCTCTCTCTCTCTCTCTTATCTCCTCCCATCCACCCCCCATCCACCCTCCACCACCACACAATCAACTCACAATCAAAGTTCTATTCACATGTTTTTTACGATGGCGACCATCAGTAAAGACCCTCCTCACGTAGCGTCGAGTTGAGGGCAGCAGCATACACCAACACCCTCAGAAGCCGGCCACATAGGGGTTCACGCTGTCTTCTTCGTACTTGTAATCGAATAACTTGGCGATCTGCTTTACTGTGGAATAAAAATGATACGTCAGTTGGAGTTTTGGGGGTGGGGTGGGCTAGTGTGTGTGTATTTAGTTTATATTGTGTCCCGTTTCTTTAGAATCGAAATTCCGCTTATGGTAAAGACTTTAAAATGTCTTGATTATTTTTATATTAGTATGTGTATTTGTTTCATTATGTAAACTTTGTAGAATGTATTTAATTTTTTGTACAGTTATGAAAGACTGTAAGAAGCAGGTGAAGTATAAGAAGAATTAGAAATTAGATATTGATGAAACCAGAAAGTATTGGAACATTTTTGTTTTGGGGACGCTCTCTGTAGCTAGGTTGAAGAGGATAGGCGTCTAAGCTTGTGGTATATTAATCTATTATCATCTGGGCAATCATGGATAATTATGGTGTTAACTAAAATAATATGTTCATTATAGTCTAAAGAGTATTGTAAGAGTGGGAAAGCATTGTATTTGGTGGAGATAACATTATTTTGAGTGAATTGATTTGTGGCCTTTTTGTATGTGCATGGACGGAGAGCACATATTCAATATATTTTGTTGTTAAATATATTTTGTTGTATTGTTTAAAGCTGTGTTTTGATTGAACCAATTTTAACAGGAACAGTGGTATTAAAATAAACACCTGTCAGCTGTCAGGAGATTGTTAGCCAGAAATAAGGTAAGGGTCTGTGTTTAACATTTAATCTCCTGTTAATAGTGCTGTTATTTGAGAGTCTCCTCTGATATAATGGGCCTATGGACTGACTATAAATCCTCTAGTGAGTCCTAGAAGAGGGTGTGAAGGATGTAACATGTTAACTGCCTGAGGACATGAATCAATATAGCTCATTAACTAGAATGATTTAAAGTCAGAATCCTGTGGCATCACTCACCTCACCTGTGTAACCATGGCAACTGATTACACCTGGTTGGCATGTGTGTTTCCACAAGGTAACATGAACAACTGTGTCTATAACCCGAGCAATGTTAAGTTATATGATTTATCCTCTATATTATATCTTGGCATAATCTTGGTATAATTACATTTTAACTAATTATACTTAAGGAAACTAATCTCAGTAGGAATATACCTGTACTTAATTATGAGAACTCTGTGATTACCTGTTGGAAATGTCTCACCTGTACTTAATGAAGGAGCTCCACCTGATTGATTAATAGACAGGTACAGGTATAGCGGGGTAGCAGTTCCTCTATCATCATCATGGTTAGGTTAGGTTAGGTTTGGTTTGGTTAGGTTAGGTTAGGTTAGGTTAGGTTAGGTTAGGTTAGGTTTAGGACAAAGAATGGATAAATGGATGAGTTAAGTAAAGGATGGAAGTAAAATGGGGGGGTGGGGTAGCTTACGTCAAGGCAGGTAAGAACCAATCAGCACAAGGCAGGCCCCTATACGCGTGGGTTCTACTAAATTGTTGGTGGGACTCCCTTAACAGGTGAGAAAATCGTTCAGGTAGACCACATCATTTTCTCTCTCTCTCTCTCTCTCTCTCTCTCTCTCTCTCTTTCATGGACATCATGCTTGCCAAGAGTAAGAGGAGAAAAAGAAGAAAACCTATTATACCGCTGTGCCTTCACTTCACAAATTTCCCAGGAGGGAGTGGTGGGGGGGTGGGGGAAGTAGATGGGTGGCTGGGGGTTGGGGGGGTAGATGGGTGGCTGGGGGGAGGGGAGGCGCTGGCTATGTGGTGAGGGTAAGTGATTCTCCTTCACGTCGTCGCCATGGTCAATACAGAGTTCGGCTGCGACGTTAAGTGAGGCATAAAGTAGAACAGTCTCTTACACACTTACACAAACACACTTACAATGGTTTAAACTTACACAAACACACTTACAATGGTTTACACTTACACAAACACACTTACAATGGTTTACACTTACACAAACACACTTACAATGGTTTAAACTTACACAAGACACACTTAAAATGGTTTACACTTACACAAACACACTTACAATGGTTTACACTTACACAAACACACTTACAATGGTTTAAACTTACACAAGACACACTTAAAATGGTTTACACTTACACAGACACACTTAAAATGGTTTACACTTACACAAACACACTTACAATGATTTACACTTACACACACACACTTACAATGGTTTGACTATAACATTTTATAAGTTTGTTTGTGTGTGTGTGTGTGTGTGTGTGTGTGTTTGTTGTGTGTGTGTGTGTACCTCCATTAACCTATCTGTTACCTTTATAAATATTTTACTTGCTAAGGTTATGTCAACACCTAGCTACAACACCCTCACAACCCACACTACAACACCACAACACACCACACACAACCCACACTACAACACCCTCACAACCCACCCACAACACCTCACAACCCACACACAACACCTCACAACCCACACTACAACACCCCACAACCCACACTACAACACCCCCACAACCCACACTACAACACCTCACAACCCACACTACAACACCCCACAACCCACACCACAACACCCTCACAACCCACACTACAACACCCTCAAACAACACCCTCACAACCCACACTACAACACCCTCACAACCAACACTACACACCCTCACAACCCACACTACAACACCACAACCCACACTACACAGCCCACACTACAACAACAACCTCACTACAACACCTCACAACCCATACTACAACACCCCACAACCCACACTACAACACCCTCACAACCCTCACTACAACACCCTTAACCCACACTACAACACCCTCACAACCCACACTACAACACCCTCACAACACTACAACACCCTCACAACACCACACTACAACACCACTACAACACCCCCACAACCCACACTACAACACCTCTACAAACACAACACCTCACAACCCCACTACAACCCCACACTACAACACACCCACACTCACAACCCACACTACAACAACACACTCACAACCCACACTACAACACCCTCACAACCCACACTACAACACCCTCACAACCCACACTACAACACCCTCACAACACACTCACAACACACCTCACAACCCACACTACAACACCCTCACAATACAACACCCCTCACAACCCACACTACAACACCCTCACAACCCACACTACAACAACCCTCACAACCCACACTACAACACCCTCACAACCCACACACTACACAGCCCACACTACAACACCTCACAACCCTACTACAACCCTCACAACCCATACTACAACACCCACAACCCACACACAACACCTCTCACTATAACACCCTCACAACCCACACACACAGCCCACACAACACTCACAACCTCACTACAACACCTCACAACCCACACTCTCTCACACCTCACAACTACAACACTACAACACCCTCACAACCCACACTACAACATTCGATCCATCTGTCTCTTCCTCCCAATCTCTCTGTCTCTTTCTTATTTCCTCCATCTGTCTTATTATCTCTCTCTCTCTCCATCCTATTTCTCCCTCCTTCCCAGTTCATCTTCTCTCCTCTCCCTATCTCTCCTTCCACTCTCTCTGCCGCACTACAAATGTCTCTAAAATTATCTCACAGTCTAAAACAAACAAAAGGAAAAAAAGAAAATTGAACTACCCACCACAGTCCGTCAACTACGACCAGCCACCCACCACTAACGACCTCGTTATCCCGCCACTACAAACAACATTCCGACGTCCAATCAAATAACTGACTGTGAAAATAATTGTTTGTGTGTTTGTTTGTTTGTTTGTCTCTGCCGGGCGTCGTCTGCAACTGTACTTTGTCAATGGAGATTTTGGGGTTCACTTAATAGTTCGCCCCTAGCCCCCCACCCCTATCCTCCTCCTTGCTTATTTCACCCATAGATTAACCAACCTAACCTAACCTAACCTAACCTAACCTAACCTAACCTAACCTAACCTAACCTAACTTAAACCTAACTTAACGTATCCCAACTTGATTCAACATAACCTTACTTAACCAAACCTTCTATTACGCACACCACCATCACACACACACACACACCACCGCGTACACACACACACACACACACACACACACACACACACACACACACACACACACACACATGTACACACACACCAAAACAAGTTATTTTTCCCCTCGTAATGGCTGGAAATAACGCACTCACGATCACCGCTTGTCTGTCTGTCTGTCCCAACTAGACTTATAAAAGCAAAATAAATTAAATTTTACACTCGGCATCAACACAAAAAAATCCCCCAAACTCACTTTTTTAACTTAATTATTTTTTCCTGACTCTACAAAATAGAACCATTAGTTCCT